TCCTCGCGTCTAGCAATAAGTTGTATACTGATCGATGGAGAAATGAAAGACTATTGAAAATCTGATGTATCCTTAGCTGAACCCCGCCGTAATCGGCGAATCGCTTAAGTTTCCGCGTCCGACGATTCTAATGAAACGAAAATATTTGCCTTCTCTGCAGGTATTCTAATATCTTGCTCGAAGTTAATCGCATATTTTAAATATCATAGTAGTCATTACACGCGCGCAACACTCTACGATTCTGTGTATCCACTTTTGCAAGTACGGCAATATTCTTGAATTGCTTGCGCTCCTACATCATCAAGCCCCATACAGAACGTCCTAAAAATATCCAAAGACCGATGGTTCTGTTAATTTTTGAAGTATAATGATTGAATAGAAAAATATAATTGTTACATTATCATCAGGATTGTGTTCAAGTAACATTTTGGTCCGCTACGGGCTCAGAATCCATAGAAAAATGGGTGAGATTCTTTATAAGGTACCGCAGATATACTGCGAATTGGCCTTTCCCGCCGATGTCGTAAATTGCGCTCCTCGAGAGAAAGACAGAAGGGGAGGGGGGGAAGAGAAGAGAGAAGAGGATTTACGCTCGCAAAAGTCACCTCGTCGTCGCATTAGCCGAGGCAACGTCTTAATGGTGTACAGCCGAAACTGCAGGCTGTACCCCTTCCGTCCAATTGCACGGTAGTTAGAAGGCAATTAAAGTTACATAATCTCCCGCTCGCTCGTCTTCGCGCACGGCTCTACGGCATCGGCATCATCAGTAATGCGTTAGTCGCGACCGAAAAGTCTTCTTCTCGGAACCCCGCAGGTGCTCACCTCCCGCCCGCTTGTGGCACAATCCCGTGCCGCTGCAGGTGCGGCACGCTTTTCATGACGGCCCCGCCAGGGACAGTTCGCGCCGTTCAATTTTCCCTAATTCGATCCCCGGCCGGGAATGTTAGTAGAGACTGAGAAAGCCCCGTCACACACGGAGCGCCGGACGACCATTTAATTACCATTCCGCACCGCCGTCTTTTACTTCCGCGTCGGGCCGAGAACGCGCACTCGACGATTACGTTTCTAACGTAATCGAACCGTCCTGGCGTTAACGCGCCTCGAACGGAACGTTTACGCGCAAAAATGCCGGTTATCGTAACGGACCGGGTATTACGAGGATTATAGTAAGATAACCGGGGAGCAATTCTCGGGGAAGACCGGGAGCACGTGATTCATCGTTGCATTTCTCTCTCTTTCTCAAAACGTTCTAAGAGCCGTTATTCCGCTTCGCGACACGGAGGCAGATGTTACTCCCGGCGCAGCTTCCGACCCGAAATTCCCGTAAAACTTCGAAAAAAGATGATTAACAACGCGCGGCCAGCGAAGCGCCACGATTACGTCGCGAATCAGTCACACGCCGCTTCCGCCCGAATTCATGGAGTTCGTGCCGGTGGAACATTAAGCGTGCAACTGCCAGGACTGGCTGGTATTATAGCCGCCGGCGTGTCGTAAAATTTCGGGGAAAGTCGTGCGGTATCCTTTCACTTTTCCATCAAACGCGCCTCGTTAGAGAGGCGCGTTACCATTAATACGGATGACGACCATACGGCGGGTTCTATTAATCAGAAATAAGCGGCAGGAAAGAGGGGTGTGTTCGGGAAAAGGCGTCGTCCACTCCGTTCGCGCAAAGCCAGTATTATTATTGACGATCGGTTAATAATTAAGGAGGGAAGCTTCCGACAGGAAGGACATCGTTCGCGCGAAAGTAAGAAACTCCGGATCTGCCGTCGATCTCACGCGATCGCACGCATTTTTTCGAAGGGCGCACGATCACGTACGCGAAAGAAGGTAAAAGGAGAGAGGAGGAGGCGCGTCGTAGAGAAACGCACGCTCCTCTCGGATTCACGCCTCGGTAGGCCCGGCCGGCGCGCACGCAACATAAAAGTTTCCAATTATAATGCACGGCATGATACTTCATTTCGTCCGTCGTCAATTAAAAGCCACGAAACGCCCGGCGGCCATCGCTACCGAGTAATTTGCACGCCGGTAGCGAGAGTACCCTCTGGAAGAGATGCCCGAGAGAACACGGGCTTATTATTGACCGTTCTGCCGCGGGCCTCATCGAGACATTCTACTGTACTGTCGGCGAACGTTGTGCGTGTAACAATTGCGAGGGTGAGAGAGAGAGAGAGATGAACGTCTCCCGATGAGATAATTACGCACGAGATAACCGTGGACGCGATACGCTAGCGCAGAGTCCGTCCAATCGTATTAACCGATGAATCCCTCATTGAAATCCAATGGGATCGTCGTGGAAACAACGACGTCACGCACGTTGACAGGAATTCATTCATCACCTGTTATCGTGAAATTTCAGCTTCGCGTTCATTCCGTCGGTACTTATCCGAATAACCAGTCAGTCATCAAACGAACGGCATCGCGCATATTCCCGACAGGAAAGACGCGATGACTATGCAGCGAGAGATTTTTACAGGCGAAACGCACGGCCGAGCGTCGTCGTCCGACACGCACATCGGACGTCCGAAATTCTGTCTTAAATTTCAGTCCTATGTTAAACCTTCAATTCTACAACCTAGTAGGAGCTAAGGTAGCAAAATTGATTTCAACTCTAATAATATAATATAATTCTACCACGACTCTGATGATATCTCAAATTTCCATTTTCGCTGTTTTAGCGTCAAAATAAATCACTGAAGGTAACATTGAAATTCAATCTATAGAATCAAAGATACAAGAGAGAAGTTAAAGTGTCGGTATCGTCAAAGTAGGTTTTTATCAGTTAATAAGCCGTCTAAGTAGACAGAAAAAAAACTAGTCTTAAATCAAGAATAGATATTCTCATACATAAGCAAGAATATTATAATCTTCTGAGAAGACTTTAGTCTTGCATTGAGCTCAAGTAATACTCGCGTCAATACAAATTCAATCAAATCGAAATTAAAAGTCTTCTAAGAAGATTGTGATACGAATATCTATTTTTAATTTAAGACTAATTTTTTCTGGATGTAGGCGCAAACTATTCTTAAGGGCGTCAGAGTAGCGTGAAAATTTGATTTTCCCTACCTTGCGACATCGACCGCAAATTCGCGTAATTTTCTCGCAAATCGCGCTCTCCGTGCGAATTTCTCGGCGCATCGGTTAATGCGCAAAAGTGAATTAACCGCGTTGCAACCGTCGATCGAGGCTAGTCTCATTCGAAGGCGCGAGATACATTTATCATCTTTACCGTAATATTGATCGGAAAGGACACGAATAACGAGCAGGTCTGTGTAACGAGCGTTCGCTCCGAGGCGGGCCACAAGACCCTCGGGGATGCTTGAGCGGCGATTAATCGTTAAAAATTGCGGTCTATCTCGATCCAGGATCGAAATGTGTGCCGCGCATGCGACCGTATTAACATACGGCATTAGGTATTCCGCATGCGAAGCTCGCTTATACAAAGCGCGCGTTCGCACAGCTTTACTTGGATTTCTACAGTAATTACACGCGCGTAATAGGCACCCTCGCGCGACGTCGATACGGTTAGCGCAAAGCTCGATTTGCGCCGGGAACAAGTGGCATTGAAAGATAACGCTAATGACAATGACGCCAATACCATGTCCGGGAGCACGCGAGGTCACCTGAGCCGACATTTCGATTCTACATTAATCATAAGCGAATTCCGTGGAATTCAAAGTGAAAAGTTTCGAGATACCAACGCCATACGGACTATCTTACCACTTTGACGCGATGCCAGTTAACGTAGGTAAACGATTATGAAAAAAAGGAATTAGATATCTACGTAGTAAAACTGAATTTAGTTAACAAACCTAGTTTTTACCTGTGAGAGCTAAAAATTACAGATACAAAGGCAAAAAGAATCTGCTAAATTAACTCAATTCAGTTGTATCACACGGACAGCTCATTTTTACCTGTAGAAGCTAATTTTTAGCTGTGGGAGCCACTTCCCTTTTTTTTCCGTGATTATTGACAGCTCGTAACGTCCAACGAGGCGTGACAGGATAACGCAAATACCTCTGCATGATCGTGACGAGCGATTAACTGAATTCGCCGACATGTGCGAGACGATTTAGCGCGAAAATATGCCCGGAAAGTCATTTCCGCGAAGTTGTAACTCTCGTTCGGCATGACGAGCTCTCACCGGTGATCAAGCGTGAAAAAGTACACCGGGATAAGCATGCGTTAGTTTGGCCTTTAGCGAACGCGTTGCACATGGTAGCTTCCGATTTTTGTCGCAAGGAGAGACGGAAATCACGCGGTGGTGCACATTCGCCGAGCATAACTTCGTGGACGTGAACTTCCTCCATTTACTTCGCCGTCAATTACTCATGTTGTAATAATATAGAATTTCGACTTGTATTATTTCACGCGCGATCGACTTGTGTACGTACAATTTTGCCGCGTCCGATTGTCGAAGCATTTCACGTGTCTCACGTATTTGCATGCCTAAAACGTTCGACACGTATAGTCACTCTTAATGAAGAACTAATGGATGTACAGTCGCATCCTTAAGAAGTCATCTTACGTAAGTTCGGCCACGTTTCGAGAAACGTAGGAAAAAGTAATAATTAACCGTACCTGTTTTAAGATGAGATATAAGATTACAGGAGAAAATGTATCTCGTGAAAACATTAATGTAACGTTTATGCAAGCTCCGCGTGTGTACGTGCGTACGGCTGCACTCGCGGGAAAGAAAGTAACTACGTCGCGCGACGTGGGTATCAATCGCGTATGTGTTAAGATATTTAACATTGCGAATTCGGTAAGTGGCCGAACTTTAGACCGTTGTGAGGCAAAGTTGCAGGCGTGTCCGTTTCCTGGACTCGCCCAGGCGGCTTTTTACCAATGTAAAGCGAGCCACGTACATGTAATGTAAGCGATGAGGTGCAGGGAAAGTGCCAAGCTATTATACCGCGAGGTATATAAGGCTCAGCCTAGAAAACGAAGCGGTTCAGTTAGTGGTCATACGCCACGCTAAAACATACGCGAACTCGAGAATGAATATCAAGGTAAGTCGGACCCATCGGCACCCGGATGAGATCGGATGTCAAGTTGCAATTTCACTTCGGGATTCGGAACTAGAAAGCGAACGTCGCAATTACAAAATCACTCTCGCGAAACGCAACGTCACCTCCCTCTTTCTCGAACGTCTTCGTCTTCATCCGATGAAAAAAAATATCGCGAGACCGGAATCTAAAAATACCGCCGAGAGCTAACTTGACAAGCATGCGTGTCAATTTACTCGTCGTTAGCCTTCAAGTCAAAGACGGGGGAAATTAAGGAAGACTGACGCGATTTCAGATCGCCATCTTTTCGGTGGCGTTGGCCACCCACGTTCTATGCGCGAGGGCATCGAGCGAGACGGACAGCACGAACGTCGAGGCGGGCCTAACGGAGAAGAAAACGGAGAAGCGCGGACTGCAACATAGTTTCGGCGACCTAGGGGGTGGCGACTACCACGGCGGAGGCGGTTCGTACGACCAGCACGAGCACGTGAAGACTGTGACGGTCGTGAAGAAAGTGCCGGTACCGTACGAAGTAACGAAGCACGTGCCCTACCTGGTGGAAAAGCACGTGCCCTACGAGGTGAAGGTCGGCGTACCGCAGCCCTACACCGTGGAGAAACACGTACCCTACCCGGTGAAGGTGTTCGTCAAAGTGCCGGTGCACGTGCCGCAGCCGTACACCGTGGAGAAGAAGGTGCCGTACGAGGTGAAGGTACCGGTCGACAAGCCCTACGAGGTCAAGGTATTCGTGCCGCAGCCCTACACCGTGGAGAAGCACATTCCGGTGCCCGTGAAGGTGCCGGTACCGCAGCCTTACACGGTCGAGAAGCACGTGCCCTTCCCGGTGAAGGTGAAGGTGCCGGTGCCGCAGCCGTACCCGGTGGAGAAGCCGGTGCCGTACGAGGTGAAGGTACCGGTCGATAAACCGTACCCGGTGCCGGTACCGAAGCCGTACCCGGTCACCGTGGAGAAGCCATACCCGGTGCCGGTGGAGAAACCGGTACCGTACGAGGTGAAGGTGCCGGTCGACAAGCCGTACCCAGTGCCGGTGGAGAAACCCTACCCGGTGCCGATCAAAGTTCCGGTACCGCAGCCGTACCACGTGCACAAGCCAGTGCCGGTGCCGGTGCACAAGCCGGTGCCGGTGCCGGTGAAGGTGCCGGTTGACAAGCCCTATATCGTCGAAAAGGAGGTACCGGTCCCGGTTGAGAAGGAAGTGCCGGTACCGGTGAAGATACCGGTTCCTGTGCCGGTGCACATCAAGCACGACGATCACGGTGGTGACCTGGGCGGCGGTTACGGCGGAGGTGGCGACGGCGGCTTGGACGCGCACTCCGCCGGTTACGGCGGCGGTTTCGGCGACGGCGGCGGTTATGATTTCTCGCACTCGATCCACGGCTGACAGGGGCATCCACTCCGCGGGCGAAACGCGCGGATCCGCAAATCGCACGTCCGCCGTCGACGTTAATTCGCGCGCGCGCTCGCTTATCTCCGAGTCGGGATGATACTTAATTCAAAGCCGGACCGCTTTCATCGAATCTCAATCAAGGACGCGGAAGCTGTTCGACGAAATTTCCGCAGCTTCGGCGGGGGGTCCTCGCCGCGAGATTAGATTAGCGAGGGGTATATATATATATGCGGTTGACGTATCAGCTATTACGATCGACGAGTTCACCGACGCGTATAATTCTCCATTATATTTCTGAAAATCCAGGGAGGGGCGGAGGGAAGGGAGGGGGGGGGGGCAAAGGNGGGGCAAAGGTGTAGACGTACGTATGCAAGAACATAACGAATATTTCGAACGAAACGTCCTCGGACTGCGTATCACGCGGAGGAGGGATATGGGATGGTTCGTTCTGGAGGGACAATTAATCGCGCGCATCAATCAAGTTCGAAGTCTGTATGCGAATGACCTGTGTACCGTTTCCACGTTCCAAAGAAAATAAAATGAAAACACACGAGTATACACGCGTAACTCTCTCAGCGGACGTCATTGGTCTAACGTTCGCGCGAACCCGTTACGTTCGAGCGCACTATTGCTGTGAGAGGTATGTTCACCATACTGAGAAACATTGTACCTAAGTAAGTTAAGTGAAATATGATTGCGGAAAGAGTACGATTTTTTTTTATATCGAAGACTTAATAAATACTCATGTCTATTATTATTATTATTATTATTACATCTTCATCCGATTATCCCCTTCACTCCAAAACGCAAGACTGAAGCGATACGCGATGTTCCGAGACAACATTTGCCACGATATCACGTCGGTTACGCGCGAAAAAGCAAAGAAAAAAGGCGGAGAATAGCGCGCGATCGCGCTGTGTACGCGCAGATTCACGACGGCGCGACGTAACTGGCGAGCATAAATCAACGTCGGAGATTCACTTTCTCGAGAAAATTTCGTCGACCGCTGGACGCGGAGTTTCACTCTTCTGGATTCGTTGTTGCCCTCGGCGAGAAACGCACGCGCGCGTCACATCTAGTAACATCACGCGAGCGTTACTACTCGCGAAGAAAAAGGAATTCTCCGCCGACTGTGTGTACCGCAGCCTGAGGAAAAAAATACGTCGTCTCGAGGGAGACACTCGCGTTCGGACGAATGACCGTTTCCCGCGTTCGCCTTCCGGCCTGGCGAATAAACCGGTAGAAACCGGACGGTATTATTGACACGGGCCCCTGCGCGAGATCGTTAAGTTCCCCCCCGCCACGTGCTTCCCGGCTGTCATCCGGCGGTCGAAAAACGCAAAAATCACGCGCGAAAAAAGTGCGTCCGGGACGGGGAAGGAGGCTCGAGTTCCGCTCGAGACAGAGGCTAAGCTTCCGCGAGCACTTTCGATTCTCGGGCGAATCTTAATCGTTATGCCCGGCCGCAATTAAGAGCGCCAGATACGACGCGTTCAGGAAAGCACTTACTTTCTCCGTCGCTCCTGCCGGCCGTGCACACGTAAACGTCATACTCCGACGCATATCTTGCGAGGCGTCGCGGAATTATCGCCACTCCTTTCACCTGTAGATCCTATCTATCGGCGATTTGGATCGCCGATCGGAAATTCGCCGATTTTCCCGACGACTTCCCGGGACTCGGATTAAATAGCAACGAATGTCCAACTGAAATTCCTCGTTAAAATAAAAAATTCGCTTGAATTTCGCCCGGGTCGGCTCGTTTAACTCGATGGTGGATTATTCGCCTACGTGCGGAGGATAAAACATTTTCGACGAAATTAGGCCGGCAGCATTAACGAACGGAGTTTCCTATTTCGTTACACAGGATGGACAGCCGGCTTTACCCAAGTATCCCTCTATCGACATTATCATTCGCCGCGGCGTAATTGAAATTCACGGCGCAATTAAATACGAATAAATATTAAAATGTATACGTTGGGGGGAAGGGGGAGGGGGCGCGCATTCCCCGTCGTCGAAAAATCCGACGAGCGGCTTTTTCTCGCCGGCCGTTAATAAAATCCCGCGCGGTTCCGCGTCTGTTTGCAAAAAACTACTCGCGCCGCACGGACCTGCGGCCGTCGATTATCGGTCGCGAGTGAAATCGATGAATGACGCAATATTCAGAAGATCGCCGTGGCGAAGTCCGTTCCCCTCGTAGTTAAATGCAATTTCTAATATCGGATTATAGATGGCGCGTTATTAGAACGTAACGTAACGACAGGATTAGTTAGCGATCGCGCTGAAATTATTATCGCAAAACTGCGAGCGAACGTCGCCGCGAGATTGCACGTGTGCGGCGCGCACACGCTCGTTGGGCGAACGACCGGCTCTCTGTGAAAGTGAAAAAAATGACGACGATTCTGCGGTGCGTGAATTATAGCCGCGCGCACGGGTATCAGCTCTTTCCTAGATGCCGAGATGCACTTCCGCTTTTCTATCGGCGCTGCGGTAATAATAAGGAAGAAAGTTTCCTGCCGCACAGTTGGCGCGCACGGCTCGCCTTGCACCTGATATCCCGCTCGTCTCTCTGCACCGAAGGATGCGCACGCGCTTTTATTTCCGGAGCGATTTGCATAACAACCGTTCCGTAACATCGTACAAGTGGAGACGCGGATTGCCAATTACTCTGTGTCTACGAAAGTCCAACCCGCATCTACTCTATAAATAGTATTCTCATGCGTGAAAAAGCGCCAATGGAGCGAGCGAAATAAATCAACTCTCGACGCGCGTTGAAATTACATTTTAAATAACTCGTAATAACAGTGCCTCTCTCATGAAACTGTAAGTCGAAAACACAAGACGAAACGCTTTCTGTATAAAGAGAAAAATGTTCCTTTAAATTTAGTACACGTGTTTGCTTGGCTTTGGTTTGTTTAATATAAACAACATAATTTAATGTCAAATATTGTTTTACTTGAATGAAAATATTTTTCACTAGAGTAAACCATATTGCTTAATAAAAAAAAAAACAATATTATTCATAGAAAATATTTTATCTTCAATGAAAAAAAATTGATTTCGTTGCATTTTAAATATTGTTCCATCAAACAAAGAAACTCTTTTTAATATCGTTTTATCAGAAAGTGCTATTTCTTTCAAATAATTTATTGCTTGTGACAACCGTTGTAACGTTTGGATGAAAATACAAAAGTAATATATTATTTGATGTCAAGATATTTATTGTTTGAGAGACCAAACAACCCTGTCTTGAATCAAACATTCATTTGTTTGCTCTATTCCAAAAGACAAATTTGTTTCAATTGAAGACATTTTATTAAATCCAAAGAAATCTTTTCTTCCGTGTCCTTGTACGAAAAATACTTCTTCCACCACAATTTCCAAGTATTGCAGCTCTTTCACAGGGAGAATCACGCTCCCTTTTCTCCATATTTGAGCAAAATTCTTATTTCTACAAAGTAAATTTTGCCTTTATATTTTTATCGAGAATGAAGCGCGCCGTCCTGGTGAGGGTTGCCGCTTTACGGCTCTCCCGTGACAAAAGGGGAGGCCAATCGCGTAAACTAGAAATTTCTGCGCCATTATCTACTTCAGCTCCGACATTCCAACCCCGTTCCACGTTTGTTCGCGGAAGCTGGGACGGCCTCTTATCCGTCGCTGCGGGTGTCGGTGGCGCGACTGTGAAGCGAAGGCAATTATCGTAGCAAAACTTGAACGTGGCAGCGCTTCGAGGATGGGCTTCGGCGGTGTGTGGGAGTGAGTGTTTGGCGTCTGATACGACGGGTCAGGTCCCCGGGGATTCTCAGAGACTCAAACGGGAATATCCCGCCTTCCTCTCTCTCATCGCAGTTAATTACCAGTCCTTCTCGGCCGCGCCGCTCGAATCAGCCTCTCTTTCTCACCCCGTTTCCCTTAGCCTGGCTCTCCTCGAACCTATGTCGCCCGTTCATAGCTGCCGTCGGGCGATTCATCCTCGATAATTCACGACCGTGTCGTTTCGTGCTGTGTTTCAGGGGGCTTCTTCTTTTTCAAGAAAACGGCATTTGAATCGCACGGAATCGTCGCGTTCGATAAAATCGTGGAACGGAAGTAATTTTTTTCGCAAGCATATTTATGCAAATGCACGAGAAATTATGTTCTTCGTTTCCCGAAAAAATAACGGCCGATATCGATTTATACTCGGATTATTACTGTCGTCGTAATCGTTCTCGAATCGTGATAAAAATTTCTACCAATTATTGTAGGCCAGACTTTCTCTGCTTTCTATTAAGCGTATCTCAAAAGAGAGAGAAAGAGAGAGAGAGAGATGCGCATCTTACCCGAGGCGTTCTTTAACACTACGAAAAGAACCGTGTGCGGATATCTGAGAAACACATTTTTTTATGCGATTAATGGATTCGATTCGTGCAATTCATCCGCACAGAATGTGCCTGGCACGACGCGCGTCAAAATGTACATTCGCGCATGCTTTCGCACAGTGTGTCATATGTATATGTGTGTGTGTGTGTAGAAAGGTTGCGTATATACACACATACATATATTTTAAGAGTAACGTGCAATCAATAGGCGACGAGGAAACCCCCGTGGGAATCCAAGCGAGCGAATCGTACCGGGATTGAACGCTTGAAATGGAATAATATCCAATAATCTGGCAGCCGAGAGAACGGGATAAAAAGGGACGTTTTATCGAGGCATCGCAGCATCCAAGCGGTATCCGACCATTTCCGCCAAGCTCGCTTTCGCCCGTTCTCGGCTAGCCGGCAAAATTAATTATTGATTTCGGATACGCGCATTCAGCCGGCGGACGCTTTTAATCGAAAACGAGCCATCCGTCGCACCCATTTCCGACCGCTACGAATTTAACAACGAAGCGGTCTGGAAATGCCTGTATTATACCTTCACCGTCGTGGCGAAAAGCCTCCGTATCTGATTATTCATTATAACTCTTTCCACGCGACTCTGTTCGAGGTATTCGACGTACAACACCAGATGGAAAATATATCCGAAAATCAATCCTTTGCCGATTAGCGAATAAATCGATTAACATGTCAGTGCATTAAATCAAACATTATTTTGTTGCACGTATTTTCGCAAAAAAAAAAAGATATTTGAGACTTCGAATTGAAATTCATTTCATGTCCGTTTTACGCTACGACGATACGAGAGGAACAAACGGAAACAGTCTTGGAGAAATATAATATAAAGGAAGGAAGGAGAGTACCTGGAGATGCCGGAGTTTCTCTTCTGGACTGTTTATCAGTTAAGGGAGATAGAAGGCTGGGATATTGGATTGTTACCGACAGTCGGTCTTACGAGATCTTCCTCTGAGTCTCTGGTGTTATACTCGTCTATCAGCTAAATCGGCCAAAATTCAAACAATTATTACGCAAAGTTCATTTTACGTCAAGTACAAAGCAAAATATGAGGGATGCAATGTGAAAGACAATATGTGGGAGCACTATAGGAGCACTATAGGAGAATTTACAAATCCACTCCAATGCTTTCTTTTTTTTAATATTCTTTCTCTAAAGAAGGTAATTGGGACTGTTAAATATAACAGGAGTAGAGCATTCACCCCGTGTAAAGTGCAGGTATAATTTACAATTATGCTGTTCCATGTAAGAAATCCATTCATTCTTTCCGTGACTTCGTATAGTGAAAGTATTCGCAATACCTCATACATATGCAATAAATTCTTAAGCAATGTCTTTAATCACCTCCTGTAATTCGGCTTTAGAAAACATGTGAAACAGTTGCCCAGGTGTCATCGTCATCACTTCGATATTGGTGTCGTTGAGTTTTTCTTCCATCACTTGCTTCAATATTGTTAGCGCAGCTTTCAACGCTTCCTTAAGAGTCATAGACTGCAATAACAATATATATAAATATAATAAAATGTTGAGACAAGTGTACAAGATTCACTGAGATTTAGCAACTAGACCAAATTACCTTGTGATACACTTCTTGAAGGTTCTGTTGCGCGCCTTCGCTACCAGAACCTATAGCCTTTGCGTCAAACTGAACGAAAGTACCGGATGGATCCATGTGATACAATTGTGGGCCTTTCTCGTCGATCCCAGCAAATAACATCGCTACACCAAACGGTCTGGACATGGCAGTACCATCATCGTCGCTATCCCCGAATTGTATGGCTAAGTTGGATACGGCTTGAGCGGTTGACTCCACCGTCATCTTTTCATTGTAAACGAACCAATGATTCTGACATTCAACTCGAGCTCTATCGATCATTGTCCGTGAATCTGCCATTAGACCGGATGCCGCGCATCCTATATGTTTGTCGATTTCTACTATTTTTTCTACAGTTGTCGGTTCCATTAAAGTAGAGGTGATGCGTTTCTCCACTGCCAGGACCACTCCTTCCCCTGTTGCAATTCCAATGGCGGTGGAGCCAAGTTTTATGGCTTCTATGGCATATTCCACTTGAAATAATCTTCCCTCCGGCGAGAAGGTGTTTACGCCACGATCGTATTCCGAACGCGTTAGAAACATCTGAAAGCAGAGACGACGAGTGCTCGACACAATTTCCCAGAAAAGTTTTGAGGTTATGCGGCAATACGCACAGTCAACAAATTCAGTGCACTATGGAGCTACGAAACACTAACACGTGACATATAATTATAATCTGCATTGGAATGTCTTAACGTTAATAGGAATAAATATAAACTTAAGCTAACGAAACAAATAACTCGAACCGAGTTATCGCTTAACCAAGAATGACATGGCAAAATGAAATCGTAAGTTCCGTAACGGAAACCTACTATCGTGACAAATGTAATATTTTATGTTTTATTTTCGAGAGAGCTGAATTACGATTACCTTCTGAACGTTTTCCTTCTTTACTAATAACGGGCACGAATATACGAAATGCCGACTTGTAACAAACGCCAGTCACCGAAAGTTGCGGATTGCGTACAGTTAAATGTAATGGCGGGGACGCAGCAGCAGTAGCGTAATATTAAGGAGGTATACCTCAGGAAGTAATCGTGATAAAAGACATCAAGTATGTTCTTTTTAGCTGCAGCGTTTGCACTTTCTGTGCTTAAAACAAAAGGGATATATATTCCAGCCTTGGTGGAAAAAAAAAGAGAAAGATTGGGAGAAGGTGTAGAAAGTGCAAGCAAATAATAGGTTAACCAATGAACTTCGAGGTAACAGGATGGTGATTGGTTGGCGTACGGTACCAACCACATTCATTTATTACTACTCATTTAGGGTCCTCTATCCTAGTATGTCATTGATGACATTTCACAAGTGCACGTGGTGGCGAAACTAACCTTAAGCGAACGTCATAAAAAATATAGAAACGATATTTTTGGAAAATGACAACATCTATTGTCAATACACAGCAATTAAAAGCGATTATAAGCGAGGAAAATTGGGATCAACTATTTGAACTTGTTAAACCAAAGCACTTTGTCAGGCAAGAGGCAGGGTGTGTATGATATTTCGTTAAAGTATCGATAGATGGATAATTTTATAAATCGATGTAACATTTCAGAGAACTACCTGATACAGCTATTTTAGCACAGATATGTCAGCTACTTATTAATGAAACTAGCCCTGACACGGTTAAAATTTTGTGTTTAAAATGTGTGGGAAACTCCTGCCTCGATATTTATAAATACCGACAGCACACATTAGGAAATAGAGAACCTGATAAATATAACAAATATTTGTACAATAAACTAGCTGAAAACAATGTGTGCCAACATGAGGAAGACTGTGGTTATCCACATATTTCTCATTTTCCTTACGATGGAGTCATAGAGTGGACCATAGATTATATTAATGCTCACGCTGAATATACAAACTGTTTGACTGCTAATGAATTAGATATCTTTAGGCTCAGTATACAATTTTTATGCAATTTATTTACATATGCATGTAAAAATGCAACTTTTGTAGAGAATGAAAATGTTCTAAGATACTTAAATCATGATAACTTGAAGCAAGCTATTACGTAAGTTTATACACATATTGTATACAGTTAATACTGTTTACATATTTTTATAGCTAATTATTTAAATTATTTTTAGAAATAGCATTCGGTCCGATCACAAACCTCTTGTCAGTGCAGCTTGCATATTTGTACACAATGCACTAAAGGAATTACAAGAAAACTATTTCACAGACGATGAAAAGAATCGTCTGTGTTCTCAATTGTCGAAACCAATCAAAGAAGGTTTCACATCCGCGAAAGATGCACTGTTGCACATGTTACATCGTCCTAATGTATTTGAAGCTATGTATGATAGTATGGCTATGAGTGAACAATTAGATTTACTTCAAATAATTTACGACGAACTCTGGCAATCCACATCTCAGGCTGTACCGATACTTACAAACGACACTGCTGAATTTCTAGCGTTAACATTTTGCAAGAAAAGTGATCTCATTTTGAAAACTGTAGACACGTATATAAACAGTATAGATCCCACAGAAGTTATTCTTATACTCAACATCTTGGGACTCCTTACATTAAAGCCGTACAAGATTTCCGAAAATGCTAGGCCTTTGCTTATTAATTGTAAATGTAAGTCCATAATTTTTCCCCCCCATCTACTCTAATCAGATATAAAAACAATGCAATATAACTGTAGTATATTTGCAGATCTTTTAATGTCCTTACATATGATGGGGAAAGAATCAAACAATTACTTTACTCCGATAACGAATTTAAGTCAAGTGGCACCTAATGTTCAAAGGAGAACAATTAATGTAAATTTAACGACAAATGATGCTGGTGTAAGTGAAGAAACTACAAATCACGATCCACAGGATCATCCTGTGTATGGTTTCAAATCAGGACTAATAAAAGTTATCGGAAATATGGTATACAGAGACAAAATGTGTCAAGATTTGGTAAGTAGATTGCACATATATCTTTACAGTTAAATATTAGATATAAAATTTTCAAGAAGACAGCAAATATAGAATTACCAGAGTACTGATGTACCTGGCGTCGATAAAGAACTTTTCTAATTAATCTTAAACGCTTGGTTCAAGCGAACCGTCAAGGTGCGCCTCATGATTTGATGTGACCACGAGACGAACTAAAACGCGAAATTGAACCGAGGTCGATACATCTATTGAAAGAAAAATATTTATTATTTGTAAAAATGTGCAACACACGTGTTGAATTCATATCATCTTATCACATCGGTACGATTTGCATTTTTTTTTAATTTTCCATGATAATTTTTTTTATTATATAACCGATTTGTCACATCAACTTGGATTTATAATTAATAACCAATGCCTGGCATTTCGCGGTATCTCCTGCAACACGATAAATTATTTTTCAGCATATGGACGTAATTGCAAAATATAAATTTACCTTTTGTTACGCTCCGTACGAAACAAGAAATCGATACTTCTCCCACCGATTACATCTCGCCTGAGTGATACGAAATGCGCGGACAAAAGATACGCAGTTGCACGCGTCCTGTCGCGTCGGACAAAGCGAAATTAAGTGTCCCGTTTAACTGTGAGATGTAGCAAAGTAATCGGAATCTGATACGCGTTACAAGTTTAACGAATTCGCGGGATGACAAAGTTTGTGTCGCGCGCATATCGACAGATAAATTAGTTATGATGAATCAGAGCGGAAATCTGAGCCTGCGGGCGGAGTATTAATTCAGCCTTTCAATGTCAAGGATGACAAAGACATATATTGCTCTTCACGATATGGCAGAATGTAGATACATTTCTTTACTGATCGCACATTTTTGTAACATATCGTCGTTAGTTCAGAAATATTTTTAGTTTCATGAGCTATTTATATGTTGTTTGAAAAACAAAAAATACATATATATCTAATTCCAGTTTCGTGAAATAGATGGAATTCCACTACTTTTGGACTGCTGTAACATAGACGCGAGGAATCCGCGTAAGTTCAATTTCACCTTATTTCATTCGCTCTAGTTTTCTCTCGCTACATTTTTACCTTTCCCGATCATTTCCATACAGTTATATTGCAATGGGCTATACTCGCTTTGAGAAATTTATGCGAGGGAAATCTCGAGAACCAGGAGATCATTAGAAATTGTAAAAAGGAAGGCACGGTGGATAATACTGTGCTGCAAGAGATGGGATTGACTCTGCACGAGGACACGGATGGCCAATCAATTCGTATCGCTCCTTTACGTCGCGATTAGGAAAACTTACTATCGCAATGAGACGAGCTGGACTGTGACCGGCAACTTGTTATAATTATCAAACTATTACTCACGATACTTGCTTGTATCGATAATGTCTCGGATAAGATACAATGATCAGTTTATCGGTGCGTATGAATAATTATTATTCGAGCCAGATATCGCGCGCGCACGCAACTGGAAATGTATCCTGCTACACGCGCGCTCGCTGAAAAACGATCCCACAATTACAACACGCGATCTGTACTATTAGGCGAAATACGATATCGTATTGCATAGAGATATTTTATCTACATCCACGGCTGAGTGATTTACGATACAATAAAAGCCGCTACGAGTTCATGGTCTATTAGGAGCTGCTAATGTAGGTACAACACTACTGCCGCTGGATCGCATTCCGCAAATAGAATTTATTTTCGTCAAATAATGATCGTCCCGTAAAACATTTCGCTGATACGCGCGCAATATGCGATGATAGACTCGCTCTTTACGGAGCGCTCTCGAGGAAATCAATAAATAAATTAGCAATAAGCAACTCTTTCCGGAACCGACATTCCCTCTCCCCCCGTCCTCTTGTGAAACCGTATAATTATGACACGCACGTTCAAATAAATAATTCCGTTAATTAACATCGTACGTCGCACTGAATTAATTTTACCTCTCGCGCCTTCACGAGCCGCGATTTAAAACGATAATTTCCCACGTCGCGGCCGTATCTCGCCGCGAACAATTTTACGATGAGGGACGATGACGTCGTCCCGTAATAGGTGTTTATTAATGTCATCCGCGCGCACTAGCAAGAAATCATGGTGGGTGAGAAATCCGCCTGCGCGCGCCGACTTATGCGTTAATTATACCGGAAGTTTCGAAACACAACAGTTACGTTTTCCTTTCTAATGGAATTCTCCGGGAGGGGAGGACGATGGTGGTTTCCAACGTCGTCGCAGGCGCGCAACGGTATCGCGGGTAATAATCGGTAAATAAATAATATTAGATAATTATCTCGAGGCGTACGCATGCACGGTCCCTATTTTAACGGTAACGGCCGCTGTGCCGCGACGGATTTACGAAATGTAATAATACGTTTCCGGACGTAATACGCAATCTAATCGAGCATAACCAATCACTGATTTATGGCGCGCTTTCAATAAAGCATGATTTTGCTCAGCAAAAATAAAATTATTTTGCTGTCCATATGTCCAGCAAATAGCAATTCATTTTTTTAACAAACCTTTTTGCTGTTCGTACAGCAACTGAGAAATTTGCCGTATCAGTAAAATATTTTTTCTTCCCTACATACAGAATTCGGAACTAAGTTATTTGGTTGCAATAATCGAATATCGGTGGACGTATATTAACCAAATTTCGATACTTGTCACCAAATCCTTCTTTCATTACAGGATATTATCGGATGACTCGACTAGACTACTCTGACGAGACGCCTCTCTCAATTTCGCACGTTTCGCGCATGAGAGCAGACGCATTAAACGCGGCATGCCGCGCGTTTGAACTTCAATAAATTGCTTTTGATTTAAATATCGGCCCATCTCGGGCCGATCAATCTTGGACGGCGCGTAATGGAGAGCAGTTAACGCAAAATTTATCAGTTAATTACACACGCGGTTAATTGCGAGGAGTAATTATTTCCGTGCAAAAAGCGTCCTCGTTACACCTCGATAGCTCGCACACGCGCGTATCCTACGTACGGGAGGAGATCGAGGAAGCAAGATGAAATTCCTGCCACGTGAGTAGTCTGCGTTGATCGCGCGGTCAACGTATCGATAGCGATTCCTCGCAGTCTATTTTCACGAGAACGCACGAGCTTTCTAGAAACCGAAGTAGGAGCGCAAACAAACGTGACGCCGGTGAAATACGATTATATTGCGCGGGGAAATTCTACTGTTCCATTTGCGCTTCTTTTCTCTTTTCGAGTGTAAGCTTCGTGGAGAGGCCCAAGTACACGAGCGCGACGCCTACGTGCGATAAAATTCGTCCCGGAGTAATTGACTGAATTCAATGTAATGGCGCGTTCTGTGAAAAGGGGGAAAAAGAAAATGATGTTCTCCGGAGCAGCGGCGCTCTCGAGGATTTCGTCGATCGCCGGAGCCTTATTAATATTCATAGACGCTGACGAAGGAAGCGTAAAAAGCGCTCGGCCGTACGCGAGATCGCTCGGGTGCGTAAATTCTGACCGCCTCCTTGATAATCAACTCGTTGACGCAATAAATTCGAAAGACCAGAGCCGCTCGGGGAACGAGGAATAGCCAACCTCCGCTAATGTTTCCTGTTTGTTTCTAATTATATCCTGAGTTATAAGGGAATAGTTTATCGCAATTTTCGACTTAGAGTGAAGTACATTGTGTGAAAAAAAGAAGAAAACGTGCGGCCGAGCGTGTGAGAGCAGTCTCACTTTTGGCATTCGCGGTTCTCTTGTTTTCGAGCTGCACGACGCGATGCGCGCAAATAATCGGCCCGATTAGCCCGTGGCAAACGAACTAGATTCTAGCGTTAATGGACGAGAACGGAGCCGAGAACGGAGCCTGCCGTCGGTGCCTAATAAGTCGTGCGGATTCTCATTGAAAAGATACGGGAAGTTCGAACGGACTCGCCTACGCGGGGCTTCTCTCAAAGAGCCGACGCGCACCGTGATGTATTTCCCTCGTGTGTACCTTGCGCATATTGTGCCGTCGCGTTATTCATACGGAAGAATACGAGCCGAGGGTCGTGCGCAACGCGCGCGCATGGTCGTCTCGCTTCACCGAAAGCTTGGAAGCCGAGGTGAAACAAGAGTCGCTCATGGAATTGCCGTGAATTTTCGTATTTGACATAGTTCGTATGATAGTAGAAAGTTCGAGCCCCGTCAAGATAAGCACGTTTTTCAAGTACAATATAAATTAAGCCGATTAAAGATAATTAAGAATGTTTCGGGCAAAATTATTGACAATACTTTAAAAACGTAGTTAAGATAATAAATATTTTTTCATTGTTTCTGCAGTTAGATTGCTCCAGTGGAAGCAGTTGTTGCTATTAAGAGACTTTTGCAGCGAAATTTTACTGATTTGTATCGCTATACTTATAATTACACCGATGGAAACCGTTTTATTATGGTTCTCACAGCCAGAAATTTTGTTTCGTTCAACCAAAACGCGTTTGGTTGTCCACTTTCTGGTCATTCGACTATAATTCTTCATCAATGTATGGCCACTAGTGACTATTGGCTGCTTCTCAGTGATAATACAGTTCAGAGAGAAAGAAGATAGTTTTGTTTGAAGAAAATCGGAAGAAAGGCTCACTTCACAGACGCCCAAGCCGCAACAATGCCTGCATCGTCGTTCGAGAGGATCGGAGGAAAAAGTCGGGGGAAAATGACGAGACGTTATGTGCCTAATCGTAAACGCAAACAGGGCTCGCACCGAGAGCATATGGACCGCGCGATGTGTTTTAACGACTGTCGCACACGGTGCATAAGCCGTAAATGTTACGCCAAGCCGGGGATTCGTGTAATAGCCACTAAAAGCGAGGTTCGTCCCTTTATGGATCGTAAAGGCAGGGATATTTGGAACGGGGGAAACCGTCGAATTGACCCGCTCGCAGTTAACTTAAAGAGAGTGAGGCACAATCGCGTCTCTTCTTCGGGGTGCACCGAGGCATCCCCGAGAGCGCTCTCGTCGACTCGAGACGATTTCCTTCCGCGAACCATTTTTCTCTCAAAATATCTGTAAAAAACGTCGCGCCGATTTTCTATCACGATACTATCACGGAAAAAAAAGGTGTCGCAGCTAACAAAACTGAAAAAGTTTTGCTGTTGTAAGTAAAACTTGAGTTACGATTGGCAGCATCTTTTCCCCAGTGACAGAGACGGGGAGAGAGATATCCGGTTTGACGCGTTGGACAATGTTATACCTCGCCGGCCGTTACTAATTATTGCACGACTCGCTTTCAGCCGCGTTTCAGTTTACGCTCCGGGTAAATTAATCCCCGTCCGATTTCGGGGTATTGTCCGAGCGATGAAAAGTCCGCTCTAATTACCCCGTGTAAATGGAGCCTCGCGTCGATTCCTCGAGACGGGCGCGATGTTATCATGTAAACAACGACAATAGGGCTTGCCAGCCCTCATGATGGCCGCTCCGATCCGACCGTCAAGTTAATTAATCGCGCCGAACGATCTCCATTGAAATGGAATCTGGATAAATTTTCCGTGCTGATGCTGCCGGCTAGCATGTGGGCATTATCTTTACGACCTCTCAAAGAAGAGGACGTCCACACGGGGTCGGGGAGGAGGGGACGGGACGCATGCGCGCGATACGGCCGTCGCTGGAAACGGTGCACCAAAACCGGAGAACCTGTTATCAGAGGAACAGTGGCTGGGACCTGGGCCAATTATAATGCAGCCGAGACTCTCGTCCGCGACGTCGTCGCTCTTAATTTCGCGTCTTATCCGTACGCGTCATTCGCCGCGGGCTGTATCGCGACTCACCGCAGCCGCGTGTTTATAATTGTATCCGGCATCGGTCTGATAACGTCGCGGATTCGGAGGAGTAACCAAACGCAATTGCTCGCGTAACCGATCTTGCTCCGCGTTGTGGGTATGAACGATAGCCGACGTGACGAAGCGTTTCCCGATACGGTGGTGTTTTCAAGCGCATCGAGGTGTAAAAGTGTCCAGCGAGAAGGCGAGCCATGCCGAGAGAGTGACCCTGGGAAGATGCGTCCCCTCGCGCGCCGTCGTTTTCAAAATTTATCGCGTTATTAGCGGAGAGGAGTCGCGATGCGCGACGGCCGAGATTCGGCAGACTTTCAATTTCTCCGGATACTCGCGTGACTGTGCACGGGCGAACGCACGTGAGTTACCGGTGATACTCATCGTGGAGAAAGCGGCGCTTTATTATCAAACGGGACCAAGCGGCCTAATTTGTTCGTCGCGCGGCAGCGATGATTTATGAAAACGACGGACGCGCCGCCGCTGATTACCCGCCGATGTGATCGGCCGGTTCGATCCGGAGCGCAGGTTGTCGCGAAGAAGCGAGCTGAAGGTAATCTCGCCAGTGGTGATGAAACATGTGGCGGTTGCTTAATCGCGATACGACACAATGAGGGAGATCCGATGCTTGCTCCTAAGGTAAGTCCGCGCTAAGGTTGCATTCTCGAACCGCGATGTTTTCTCTCCTAGTGCCGTCAATTTCGTCTACCCAGGGTCTTTCAATAACTGCACTGTCAATCAATATATTATCACTGAGAAGCAGCCAGACGGATAGTGATTATAGTTGTAAGTATAGCGCTGCGAATTAATGAAATTTTGCTGTCAATAGCTGTTTCCAACGGAGAAAGTTAATTGCAGAAACAGCAATAAAAGATATTATTTATTACTTCTTTTTATCATCTTAACTCCACTCTTACTGTCAGTGATTTTGCCTGAAATATTCTTATAATTATGTTTAATTGATATCGTATTTGAAAAATACGCTTGTCCGGATAAGACTCGAAACCTCTAATTCTCGAGTCTGTTACCGATTCAAATTAACAGTGTAAATGTGCGGTTAATTTCAGACGTTACAAATTATTGATCTTTCTAACCATAACAGATAATAACAAATCAATCCGAAATCAGCCGTATACGCTCAGAAGG